AGGGTAGCCCAAGAGTTGGCGGTGGGTGGTGATCACTAGCTGCCTTCCCTCTAGTCTTACACTGCTAAATTTGGGACGGCTAGCGCAGATAGCACTCGTGTAGCTTTGCGTGAAATTCAAAAACAAAACAAACAATCAAAATCAATGCTCTAGTTTTTTAATTAACACAACAATTGTAAATTAGAATATGTAAATGTTATTAAGCACAAAGCTACACAAAGGGCTATCTGTCCTCTGCCCACCACGGGTATCGAAACCCGGATTCTAGCGTTGTGAGTCCGCAGACATACCGCTGTGCCACTGGGGTCAGAATATGTAAACAAAGGACATAAGAAACAATAACTCCTGTCGTTTACCAATATTTTGATGATAAATTAATCTCGTATTCATACCTTCTAAGATTATCTTAGGGTGGGCATTAATTGAAATTATTGTGTCTGTGAAAATGTTTGTTTGTTTGTAATTAAGAACAACGCTACAGAATGGGATATCTGTGCTCTGGCCGCCACGAGTATCGAAACTCGGATTCTAGCGTTGTGAGTCCGCAGACATACCGCTGTGCCACTGGTTTGTGAAAATACTATTTCAAATATTTCGAGTTTATTGTAGAAACTACCTTCTTCCCCCCTTTACCCCCCACACTGTTACACATTTTGATGAATTATTCTTTCATCTGGGGGGAGGGGCGTGGCTTCTAGATTTGGACTCGTAGGCGGACGGTTGTTCGCATCGCACTGTTGTGTCCTTTACACCAATTTTTCAGACTTCCAAGATGGGATTTAACCCGAAATGGTCTGTAATCCCAAACTGGGGGGGAAGGAATGTGTCGCCATTCTCATCCGCTTGTGCCAATTAAGCCGGCTCCTACGTGTCCCCTCGGCGTGGGAGGAATTTGATCTTTACCTTTCATACACATCTTATTTACCCCGTGAGATGTAAGTTATCTTGTAAGTTGGAAATCCAGAATTGATAGTAAACTCTTACAGATACCTTGACTTTGTTGTTGTTGTTGAGCCTGATTACTAGGCCCGAGGTTCGAGCCACTATACGGGTATTGCATGAGGTCTTCCTTAGGCTGAAAAAATAACAAACTTCTCTCTCATATCTTTACGCCTTCTCACCTCTCTCTATTTAAGCTCTGTTTCGTTTTAAAAACATCTTATTTAATTGTTCAAATTGTTTTGATTACACTATATATGTTGATGCCTTGAGGGACATTACCTGGCGCCTCTGTATTTGACCAGTTGCCCCCCCCCTCCCAGTGGCTCAGCGGCAAGTCTGCAGGCTTAAGACATACTCACTTCTAGAGTTCAACCAAAAGCTTTTGTTGTCACAATCACATTCACTAAAAAATTATGCTTCCTTTACAAACTTGCAAGAAGAGGATAAAAACAGCACGGGGTCTACATTATATGACGCTCTGTTGAAGGAAACAAGGTAGGCGAATCCATTTTTCTAACAGGGGGTCTACATTATATGACGCTCTGTTGAAGGAAACAAGGTAGGCGAATCCATTTTTCTAACAGGGGGGTCTACATTATATGACGCTCCGGGGTCTACATTATATGACGCTCTGTTGAAGGAAACAAGGTAGGCGAATCCATTTTTCTAACAGGGGGTCTACATTATATGACGCTCTGTTGAAGGAAACAAGGTAGGCGAATCCATTTTTCTAACAGGGGGGTCTACATTATATGACGCTCCGTTGAAGGAAACAAGGTAGGCGAATCCATTTTTCTAACAAAAGTGTAGAGTAAGCGTATCGCCGTTCTTTTCATTAACGAGATCAAACTGGTGTTTGTAAGCCACACAGATTTGATTGTCTGCGTCTTTTATTGGACTGTCCACCAGGGTGATCAGCTGAACAGGCTCTGACACAGGAAGTTCCTAGAATAAATAAAGAGGAATTTGGTTTTCTTGTCACAAATTTGGTTGCTATAAAGTTATCACCAAACACTCCTCAAAAGCTTTATATAATTATAATTCCCAATTTCTGTTTCACGTCCAGAATATTAGTAGGAACAGAACTGTGATAAAGAAGTTAGCACACACAGGATCACATATAAGAGTAGTAATGGTTTCCAGACGAACTCTGTTAGAAAGTCCCAAAGGGACTACGATTGGGAAAAATGGATATATAACACTAAGATAAAGAACGTATATTATTAAAGTCTGTTGTTGTTTTTTGCTTAGAATTTTTGCGCAAAGCTACACAAGGGACATCTTCACACAGCTGTCCTTAATTTTGTACTGATAGGATACACGGAAGGAGTCAACAGCACCAATCTCGGGCTACTCTTGTCTCTGACCAATTAGTTTGATTTCGATATTACTCTTACAGCTTCAAAGAGCGGAGCGCATTTCTGCGGCAACGGGATGCGAACCACGAACTCTTGGATTCATACCCTGGGTACTCTAACCATTAGATAATGCCCGACTCTCTCTCGTTTAAAATATATAGGTCAGTACTCCTACCTTGCCATGACCTGTCGTCTAATCTTTCTTTAAGACAACTACAACTGAAGGTATTTTTACTGCACTGTTTCCACAAGCCTAGTAAAAACCTGTCTGAGGACACTAAGTTGACGAACCACAAACATCCCATTGAAGGTCATAGTTATTTTAATGTTTTAAAAATATAATAAAAAATTTGTAGAAAGATACTGTTTCATTAAACTATTACTAAAGAACACTGAGAATAATCTGTGGCAACTTTTAAAAAAGTAGAGGGCGTCAACAACATAGTTGGGACATGATATTTCCATTAGTGATTCATTAGTTGTTTGGTGAAAAATCGCAAAATTTTGTGTTACAGAAAACCAGCATGTCAGACAAAGTAAGCGTTTATAGTTTGAGTTCACAATTCAGTATTGAAGTCATTAACAAACGAATGATGAAAACATTAAGAACGATGGATCATTAAAAATTAGTTTGTTTTTTTTTTAATGTAAAAATTGAAGATAATATATGCTAGAGTTTTGAACACTTTTTTTTCTTCCTGAACCTTCTACTCGAATAATACTGGCTGTCTTTTTTATGTCTAGACCAGATGGTTTACATTAGACGCATAAATAAAAAATACGAAGTTCTACAAAGGTTTTATCAGCAAAACTCATCGTCTGTTTATTGTCGTAGGTGAATGATTAAAAGTCACGAAGAGATTTGTTTATGAATTTCGCGCAAAGCTGCACGAGGGCTATCTGCGCTAGCCGTCCCTACTTTAGCAGGGTAAGACTGGAGGAAAGGTGGCTTGTCGTCACCACCAATTCTTGGGCTGCGCTTTTACCAACGAATAGTGGGAGTGACCGTCACATTATAACGCTCCCACGGCTGAAAGGGACGAGCATGTTTGTTAAGTGGGACGGGGGACTCGAGCCCACCACCATCAGATTGCGATTCAAGCGCCCCCTAACCACCTGGCCATGCTGGGCCCTAAGTCAAGAAGAGATACGTTTTCTTGTTGACGTTTTAACTCCATTAACAAGATGAGGGTAGAAAAACAACAACAAAATTTAAATAATTCGTATAACAAGATGGAAACACAGTTTTGAACTTTATCAGATCTCATACAATGAAAGAGTGCGGATATTGATGAATCAATAGCAGTAACAAGAAACAGACACGCCAGGAAAATTTTACCACCCACAGCTAAATAAAACTGCATTTGAAAACGACCTTTTTTTTTTCTTTACAGGTGAGCTGACGAGAAGAGATGCACTTTAAAATTATTATTATCATATGGTTTTGGTTTTGTTATTTAATAGTAGATGTAGATTAATGTGTTTTGTGTTATTAAAGTATCATTTCAACGGTAACAGTAGATAACACTTGCAATGGACCATACATACCCTAATAAACTGGAATCCGTCCACCGTGTCAGTATCCAAAGACGCACACCACGCCGCAGTGTGGCGCCACTGAAATACGAGCAACCGGCGACCAAAAGCCACAACCATGCGTAAATGACTATCACAGGGTCGACTAATGGCATACAAATGACAGCCTGTGATTACAAGAGAGAGAGTAAAAGTGAGATAGAACATTAGTAAAATCGTACAATATATATACTTTTAAGAAAAGCTCATTGTGGTGAATAACTCGAAAGAGTTTTAACCAGGGGGGGGGGCTTTCAAGATAAAAAAAATTTACTTCCTCTATTAATATATATATGTGATCGAATTGTTTGTACTTGGTGTTACATAATTAAAAGCTACAAGAGGTCAAAGTTACACGAGGACTATGTGCGCTAGCCGTCTCTAATTTAGCAGTGAAAGACTAGAGGGAAGGCAACTAGTCATCACCACCCTCCGCCAACTCTTGGACCCCCTTTTACCAACGAATGTAGGGATTGGCTGTCACATTATAACGTACCCACGGCTGAAAGGGGTGAGCATGTTTGGTGGGACGGGGATTCGAACCCGCGACCCTCAGATTGCGAGTCAAGTGTTCTAACCACCAGGCCATGCCGGGCCAGAAAATTAAACTAAGTCTAGTCTTACACTGCTAAATTAGGGACGGCTAGCACAGATAGCCCTCGTGTAGCTTTTGCGCGAACTTCATAACAAACAAACAATTCAAATTTCTGCGAATACTTCCCAACAAATATATATATAAATGATTTTTGCATGCAATTTCTAGTAAGCAATACAAATTGAAACTGTTTTTCTTGAATTCATTTTTGATTGAAAGTGCGTGTTTTCCTTTTCTTTTCGATACCTTTAGTTTTCTCCAGTCTGTGGTCTCGCAAGTCTGATTTATTTCGCACACCGCCGCTTTCCCTAGTTTCGCTATCAAAATCGGAAAGGCTGAACACGTAGATTCTGCTGTCTTTTCCTGTGTATAGATCAAAATCTATTTAACCGAATATTTTATAAAATATAAATTAATAAAATGAATCAGAGAAAAACAATTCTTGACATTCCTAAGAAGTATGACTCCCCACACACACACATACAACTCAGTGGCTCAGCAGTAAGTCTGCAGTTAAAATGCGGGTTTCGATACCCGTGTTTGACAGAGTACAGATATCCCATTGTGTAGCTTTGTGCATAACAACAACCAAATTATATTGTGATTTATAAAAGAATTAACAATATTTGGTAAGTGTAAGTATTTATTTTTATTTATTATTCGTGATGTTAGAAAAACACGTAAGTTCAAGAAGTCTTGATAGAAATGAATAAAAACCCTATAACCCGAGCGCTTTCAAAAGGTGGACCTTTCTTCTTCAGGGGCATATATTTTATTAATTATTATTAGTTTGTTGTTGTGCTGTGTTAGCTGTAATAGCCGGATGATAATCGCACGTGTTACAAATATCAAAAGTAATTACTTCTTTCCCGAACGCTGACGTCAGTGAAGGCTGCTATACTGATTTGATAATACAAACTGACGTCAGTGAAGGCTGCTCTGCTGATTTGATAATACAGACTGACGTCAGTGAAGGCTGCTCTGCTGATTTGATAATACAAACTGACGTCAGTGAAGGCTGCTCTGCTGATTTGATAATACAGACTGACGTCAGTGAAGGCTGCTCTGCTGATTTGATAATACAAATTGAACGTCAGTGAAGGCTGCTCTGCTGATTTGATAATACAAACTGACGTCAGTGAAGGCTGCTCTGCTGATTTGATAATACAAGACTGACGTCAGTGAAGGCTGCTCTGCTGATTTGATAATACAAATGGGCTTATTCGTTTAAGTGTTTTTTTTTTAAGCACAAAGTTACGCGGGAAATCAAACATCAGGATTTTAGCACTGAACCCACCACTGACCCAACGGGGGGACAGTACAAATCCGTAGTCCATGATAGAAGAAAAAATTGTTCCATTGACGTCATTTCAAAACAAACTTTGTAGTACTACTAGAATACCTCATATGTATCCATCATTCACGTGCATTTCCTATTTTTTTCAAGGAATTATAAAAGGTTTGATTGGTTTCATGTCGTGATAATACGTGTTCTCTTCCGAAAGCTCTCTCTCTCTCATTTTTTAAATAAACATTCTTATAATATTAAAAACTGCAAAAAAGTTATACCTGAAAATTTATCTAATATTATAGAATTGACATTAGAAAATTTCTTAGTCTAACTTCAATATTATTTTGTGAAAATATACATACTTATAATATTTCTTAGCAGTATTACCTAGCGACATTTGTGTTCTAAAATCAACTCGTCTGGAATGTTTGCGAAACAGCTAAAAATTTGTAAGAAAAAAAAAGTAAAAGCTGGTCACCAAATCAGGGAAAAGTAGGTTGAATGAACGAATATTTGTTTGATCTATATATATAATAGAGTAATATCATATAGAATAATTTAGTTTAGAATGAAATATAATACTACAGTATAGTAGAGAACAGCGTATTATAATACCGAATAATGTAGCGTAGAAAATAGTGTAGTATAGTAGTATAATATAGAATATAACCAAAAGTACCCGTCCCCAGTGACTGGAAATGTCTAAGTTAATCCAGCAAAAGTACCCGTCCCCAGTGATGGGAAAAGTCTAAAGTAATCCATCAAAAGTACCTGTCCTCAGTGACGGGAAAAGTCTAAGGTAATCCATCAAAAGTACCCGTCCCCAGTGACGGGAAAAGTCTAAGGTACTCCATCAAAAGTACCTGTCCCCAGTGACGGGAAAAGTTTAAGTTAATCTATCAATTTAAATTATTTCATGGACTTTAAAAAGGTTAATTATGTTGCACTCTTGGTTTCACTCAGAGCCAAAGCTCTGGGCTACTTATACCGCCCACAGCGAAAAGTAATTGAGGAGCATTTCAGTCATTTTAAGAGCCACTCAACAATAACATATGGTAAATCTACATTTTTATTGTTTAAATTACGTCACATTTTGAATGACGTATAAAACATTAGGGCGACACCTACCTTTGTCTGCTCGAAATATAAGGATACCATGTTCTTCCACTACGTTCACCTGTTTGATTTGTACGGTCCTGTCGAAGATTGGTCGGTGAATCACGCCCTCTATAAACATAAATAAACAAAAATAAATTGTTTTAACTGAACCTTTAAAAACATTTCATGAAATGAAAATAAAATGGAAAGGAAAACCGAAAAGTGAATTATTTAAAATATTTCAAATCCGATTTTCTTTTCAGCTTTCTAGTAATAAAAACTATTTATTTATTATTATTACTTATATAATTATTCAGTCTGTTTAACATAAAAGCGAAAACTTTTTAACGTTATAAAATTTCCTAATCAAATAATGAAAGTGTATGAAGACTCAACACAAGGGGGACACTTTTAACTCACGTGTTTCATATTTATTACCGAGACCGAAAATATCAAAAAATAAGTTTCAAGATTTGGTATATGTCAGCTAAAAAGAATTACTAACCACGTCTTGTCAACATTTTACGATATTCAGGAAAAAACTTGTTTGTTTGTTTGTTTG